CTAGGGTCAGGGCTCAGTCCATGATCAGGATAGGGCTGAGTTCATGACTAGAGTCAGGGCTTAGTCTGTGATCAGAATCAGGGCTCAGTCTGTGATCAGGATCAGGGCTCAGTCTGTGATCAGGATCAAGGCTCAGTCTGTGACTAGAGTCAGGGCTCAGTCTGGGGCCTGGTTAGAGCTTAGTCTTTAGAGACCAGAGTTTCTTTCAAGCCATATAAAGTGGCAGTATGGGCATTACAGTCACTGCAGTGAACTCACTGAATTCTGACCCCAGGCAGTGAAGTTGCTGACGAGACAGGTGCATCCAGGGATGAGGGAGGGAGGAGGGACAGGGACAGACTGGGCACATACCCACAGCCGACATCTCGGGCACGGATGCGTTGAACAGCCGGTGCGTGAACACAGGCCAGTTGTCATTCACGTCATGCACTTTGATGGTGAAGCTGGAAGGAGACTCCAGGTTCTTGTTGGTGTCCTTGTCCACCACGAGGGCAGTGAGGTTGTACTCGGAGATCTTTTCCCTGTCCAGCCTTTCAAAGGCAAACACGTCCCCTGTCTCTGCATTGACCCTGAAGACCTTGCCGGCAAAGTCTCCTTCAAGCAGGTACTTGGCGTTCTTGCGGTTCATGCTGGACTTGATCTAGGAAAAAGGAGGCGCTGTGAGCTGGGAATGGGCAGTGGTGGCTGTGTGTGCGCGCACATGTGAGTGTGCAAGTGCATGTGTGTAGGTATGTCTGTGTGCACATGCATATTTGTGCATGGTGCAGGCCAGGGATCTCAATGTGACACTGCGATTTTTGTCAGAATCTATGACTGGTCATTAGTGAGTTGTTCTCAGCCAGGTCACTGCGAACACTGCATTCATGTGACCTGCCTAGCACAGTGCCCCAGTTTGTCTAGAACACTGCCTGGAACATAGCGAGTGCTTAGAAAACCTTTTTTGAGTGAAAGTATGTGCTTGGTGCCATTGGGAGGCAAGGGGTATTTTGCCCCTTAGAAGTCGCTTAACCTTTCTGAGTTGTGGTGACCTCATCTATAAAATGGAGATAATACTGCTTCTGATTTTGAGTTGCTCTAACGAGCAGAACAGCACTTTTGAAAGTGAGTTCCAGGAAACACTGGTCTCTTTTGCTGTTTCACACAAAAATGCAGTCCCAGGCTGCTGGAGCTGGCTCGGACTGGCTTGGCTTTTGAGAGCCAACTTACATTTTCAGGAATGTTTGTGAGCTGGTTGTTCAACACAGCTGTTATTAAAAATTCAGTGATATAAACTTACAATGAAATGAATCAGATTAAAAGGAAAGGTAACATACTCAAAATTCATTGCTTCCTAATTATTTGACTGAGTGTTACTGTGTTCTTGAGGTTATTTATGCCTATTGCATCAAATGATGGAAATACTAAGTAATGCTGTGTTAATACATATCTTTTCCCAACTCGGCTTTCAGTGACATCAAGTTGGTAGCTTGAAATAGACAAAGTGAGAGCATTTACACCATGGGAATTAGCAAATGCTACAGATCAGGACCTTTTCCCCTGGAGAGCCAGTTGTCATTTATCCACACACCACTGGTCCTGGTCACTTTAGTTTTGGAATGGTACATAAAATATTCTCTTCTGGGAGACTTACAATGTACAGTCCTGCAGAAAAGAACCCCAATGAGCTTTGTTTAACTCAGGATTTCCCCTACTTATTAGACTACTGAACACTTTTTCTTTGTAACACATAGTATTCGTGTCCCAAGGAGCAAGATTTGGAAAATAATGTGTGTAAAGCAATTTGGACAGGCTCTCAATAAATGCCAGTTATTGTTCATGCTAGATCCGTACGTTAAAGGATATTAAATGGCTAGAATTGCTGAACATTTCATTTATAGACTCTTAGAAACAGAGACTATCAGGAACATAAGGGAATCCTATTTCATGCATGTAAAATGGTACTCTCATAGGCGGTTAGAACGTTCAAAAAATATAGTTTAATTCAATTAAAAATACATAAATAGGATGTCTACAAGGTGCCAGGCCCCACGCTGGGAGTGGAGAGAGAGTCTAGATCCTGTTCCTGCCCACAGGGCCTGGGTTTAAAGCCACAGAGGCTGAGATTCTGAGGAAGGGCAGCATTTAAGGGTCGGATGGAACAAGAGCCTTGAATGATGGTGTCTGAGGAGGACACATCAGAAAGGCTGGAGGAGAACCAAGAGAGAGTTGGGTCTCAAGACAGAAGAGGGGGCATCAAGAAGGGTGTGGTCAAATCCCATGAGGTCCGGAAAGCGTCCCCGGGTTTAGCAGCAGAGCAGTCATCAGAGCTCTTGGTGAGAGCAGTGTTGGGAGGTGGTAGGGGGAGAATGCAGATGACAAGATGTAGAGAAGAGTCTGGAAGGTGAGGAAGTAGAGACAGGGAGTGAGGACCCTCCCCCTTGGGTGGGCAGGGAGGGAGGGGGTGCAGCAGCTGGAGGTGGTAAAGCATCCTGGAGCAGGGCTGCGATTCAAGGGGAGGTCCCGAGGCCCAGTGGCTGGGACGCATGATGAACAGCTGGACAGGAGCACGAAGTGACATGCCAGCTCTGTAACCTGTGGCCTGGGGGGACAGCAGAGACTCAGGGATGAGGGATAGTCTGGGGCCCTGTGGGAGTTGCTCAGGATTAGGATGAAATGGTAGTCCCAAACTGGGTCTGGGTGGAAGTGTATCAGACCAACGTGCGCAAGGGGAGTGAGGGGCAGTGAGTCACCTTTGATCTATTTAATGGAATTCTGCATAAAATTTCCTTTGACTCACCCCTAAACATCTTTGATAACGTTTTCTCAATACCATCAAATAAATAGTCAGTGTTCCAAAAAAAAAAAAAAAAAGGATTTCATTTGAATATAAGTTTTTGTTTTCATTCCCTCCAACTTTTCTTAAATAGACTTCGTATTTTAGAACAGTTTTATATTTACAGAAAATTGAGAAGAGTTCCCATAATCCTGCTCCCAGTTCCTCTTATTATTAACATCTTACGTTAGTATGGTACATTTGTTATAATTAATGCATCATGCAGGTTTCCTTAGCTCTTACCTAATGCCCTTTTCCTGTTCTAGGATCCCATCTAGGACACCACATTACATCTAGTTGTCGTGTTTCTTTAAGCTCCTCTTGGCTGTGACAGTTTCTCAGACTTTCCTTGTTTTTGATGACCTTGATGGTTTTGAGGAGTACTGGACAGGTTTTTGTAGGATGCCCCTCTATTGGGATTTGTCTGATATTTTTCTCATGATTAGATTAAGGTTATGCGTTTCTGGGAACCCTATTTTTTTTTTTTTTCTGTGAGGAAGATCAGCCCTGAGCTAACATCCGTGCTAATCCTCTTTTTTGCTGAGGAAGACCGGCTCTGAGCTAACATCTATTGCCAATCCTCCTCCTCCTTCCCCCCCCCCCAAAGCCCCAGTAGATAGTTGTATGTCATAGTTGCACATCCTTCTAGTTGCTGTATGTGGGACGTGGCCTCAGCACGGCCGGACAAGCGGTGCGTTGGTGCACTCTCGGGATCCGAACCCGGGCCGCCAGTAGCGGAGCGCGCGCACTTAACCGCCAAGCCACGGGGCCGGCCCCTGGGAACCCTATTTTTTAAAAAATTATCGCTGTATTTAGACATAACATCTTAATGCCGAAAGCCGTGCTGACCTGTATTTGTGGATTCAGGAGGCCACTCAGGGCGCGCTTGCGTTGTCCAACCAGATCTGTAAACAAAGGCTCCAGGCTCTGGTCATCATAAACAGGGACTTCCTTCCCTCAGATTACATCTTTGGGAGCCAGGAGGTGATCCTTGGAGCCCTGTCCTTGCTTCTCATAGGCATCCTTGTTTCTTCCCAGAATGGGGACTACATGTGGCTCCTCTGTCCCCCAGCCCCGTGCCAGGTGCCAACTGAATGCTGTAGGCAGATGACGGCAGGCCTGACGCTCTTCCTGCTGCTCGAAGACCCTTGGGGGAGCCCTCCAAGGGCTGCCGTGACAGGGCTGCACGTGATGCAGGTGGCCCCCACTTTCTGCTGGCTCTCCCTGACTCACCCCACAGGTTTTCCTTAGGGCTGACCCTTCTCTTCAGAGGCTGAGTCATGGCACTGTCATCCCATTGGGAAGGACGTAGGTGGGTTGACGACATTTTCCTCTAGGACACAGAGTTTACATTTGTGTTGGGAGTCAGGAACCCTATGCCTTCCTAGGGCTTGGTTCTCCTAGGGCTGTCCTGGGCTCACTGTATGACCCTGGGCAAGTGTCTTCCCTCTGAGTGGCCATACTGAAGGATTTAAATTTCCCAGCCATTTTTGGGAGCCAGGGGAGCCCATGGGCACAGTCAGCTGGCTGTGGGTGAGGCTGTAAGTGGAGATTCCCCAGTTGACCCCACCCCAGCTGATGTGGCATTTCTGGTGGCGAGGCTGGACTGAACCTTCCCCCATCAAAGGGTCCTCTCCAGCCTATTTCTCTATGACCATAGGGCTCCCCCATCACCACCATTTGTGGAGTTCTTTGATATATGCTGCTCTTCTAGACTAGGGTGGGCAAACTCTTTCTGTAAAGGGCCAGATAGTAAATATTTTTGACTTTGTGGGTCCTATGGTCTTTGTCACAACTCCTCAACTCTGCCATTAGCGCATGAAAGCAACCATGGCAATTTGTAAGTGAATGAGTGTGGCTCTATTCCAATAAAACTTTATTTACAAAACCAGGTGGTGGGCCAGTTCTGCCTGTGTCTGTTTCAGACCACAAGCTCCACAAGGGTGAGGGCCATGTCTTTGCCTGCTTTTTCTTTCCAGAACCCAGCCTCATGGTTCATACCATACTTCCTCTCACCAGCACATTGATCTATTCTTCCTTGTAGCCGACCATGTTTAGGTTCCAAGAAACTGACATGGTGAGATTTTAAAGCACTTGAAAGAAATTTTTCTCTTCCCTGAAAACTCTCAAAATACCTAGTCCATCTACCTGTCATCGTGTGTGAAATTCTCTCACTAGAGCCGTTCCTTTGAATTAGAATGGATGGTTTTGACATCAACAACACTTTGACACGGTAAGACAGTGGATTAGTCACTCAGATTAGCTCCAAGCTCTAGGAAGGTGACTGAGGATGGAGAAGTTTTAAAGGGGGAGGAGGTGAGGGTTAGTGCCTTAGGCACTGCCCTGGGGGCAAGCTTGGGTCAAGCACCTTGTGATGGGTGTTCTGGAATCTGGGGAGTTGGGTGGGGTAACAGGGAACCAGGGAGGGACAGTCTGAGAGAAAGGGTTTTTTGAGGAGGTTCAAAGGCCTAGACCAGGGTTGGCCAACCATGGCCCGTATGATTAACTTTGTCACCAGCACAATTTTGTAGAAGGCTGCTCAGGTCTTCCAGACCTATCAGATGGGAAAATTTAATGGCATCCTTGGCTGGTTCTGCCCTAAGCTCTGAAGCCCCAGGCTGGGCTGGCCTCCTCAGCCTGTGCACGGGGTAGCCCTTCTACCAGCAATGTTTAGTCCACAGACCAAGGTCTGGGAGAAAAGGAGCCAGACTGCTCACCATCACTGCCCCCACCACCATCATCACTACCACAGTCACCTCCATCATCACCACCACCACCACCTAATATACCACCTCCACCATCTCTATCACCATTCATCACCCTCACAACCATCATCCCCACCCCTAACCACCACAATATCTATAACCATCTTGACCATCGCCACCATCACTGGGGGCCACCTGCTTCTGAGGCCTCTCCTGCTCTGGGGCCTGAGCCTTACCTTGCCCACATAATGGGGCAGCGAGGCATTTTTCTCTTCATCGATGTGCATCTGGTTCCAAATCCAGTCTCTCTTCTGGCGCCGGTGGCTGGGCAGTATGCCGGGAGTGTCCAGGTGGGCAGGGTTAGCACCCGCTGCAGCTGTCACCAGCAGGCCCAGGCAGGTGCCCACTGCGGCAAGCAGCATCGAGAGCATCTGCATCTTCCGGGGAGGCACAGACCTGGGGAAAGAGAGGAGGCATCATCAGCGCATGGTGGTCACTGCCCTGGGGTGTGAGCAGCTCCCAGGGACAACTGGACTCTCCTTGGCTGTTCACTCCTTCATCCTTCCCTTTCTGCTGATACCAGCAGAACCAGCCTCTGTTCCTGCCCCCAAAGAGCTCCCAGTCTGGGAGGGGAAGACAGATGCAGAAACAATTCCTACTTAAGTGTCACATGGGCTAGTGTGGCGATAGGGGAGCCTAGAGGAGGGCTGTCGAGAAGGTTTCCTGGAGGAGAGGGATCCTGATGCTGATGGTAGCTCCCAAAGCCCTGTGCAGTGGGCACCCAGGTTATCTTCATTTTACACATGAAGAAACTGAGGCAAAGAGAGGTTAAGTTCATATTGGAGCAAGCGGTGGGGCTGAGGATGGAGCCTAGGTGTCTGAGCTAACGTTCATCGAGCACTTATCATTTGCCTGACGCTATTCCAAGCGCTTCATATGTTATCTCATTAATCCTCCCAATGACCCTGGAGGTGGGAGTAATTGTAACCTTCGTTTTACAGATGAGCTAAGGAACAGAGAGGTTTAGTAACATTTCTGACATCACTCAGCCTGTAAGCAGCAGAGCCAGGATTTAAACCAAGTCTGCCTGGCCCCAAAGTTCATGCTTTTTCCTACCCCTCTCTCTTATCCCAGCAGCTGCTATTGGGTGGGATTTAAAGGCTCCTCTGCGCAAACATGCCCTTCTGGCCAGCCCAAGAGCCCCTGGGGCAGCCTTGGTTTTGATGCTGTCTTCAGAAGGCTTTTAGGAGACCCAGATGTCTTGACCCAGAGGGTCAGGCCCTCACCAGACCCAGAACTCACAGCAGATGATCAGCTTAGGAGCTGTCACAAGAGCAGGGGTGGGGACGGTGGGGGATTGAGAGGCTGGGCTCACAGGACTGCCTTCATTTGTGGGGCCCAGTGTAAAATGGAAATGTGGGTCCTTTAGTTCAAAAATTATTAGGAATTTCAAGACGGAGACAGAAGAACATGAAACCAAGCGTGCGGGCCTTTAAAGCGCAGGGCCCCAGGCGACGGCTCAGGTTGCACACCGTTGAAGGCAGCCCTCAGGATGTGGGATTGGCCTGGACCAGGATCTGAGGTCACCTGGAGATGGGGTCCTGGCTTCATCCTGAATTCCAGGAAGAGGGATTTCCCCACCGCCCCACGGTGGGTGGAGGCTGTGACCTTGGCTATCACCGTGCCCTCTCTGCCCTGACCCCATCAGTCCACCCATGCTGGGTCCCTGCGTCAGTGACGTGTGGCTCCTGGGATGGTTCAGGGGAAGGAGGCGGGTGGGTGGGAGTGGGAACCAGGGCTCCTGCCTGGAGAGAGACAAGGACCCCCCCTGGATGCTGGATGGGAGGCCTCCTCCCTGGCTGCCCCAGCCCTGGCCCGAGGGAGAGGCTGGACTCAGCCCATCACAGCACGTTTCTAAACTCTAGTGACATTTCTTCTGAGACTCTGGCGCCGGGCTGTCCTCAGTGAGGGCTGAGGGTGTCTGCACTGGGCCAGCCTGGCCTCTGGGTCTGCTGATCTTAGCATCGAAGGCCCCTACCCTGTGGCCCCTGCAGCTGGCCCAGGAGGAAGTAGACTTCCAGGGCTGGCGTGGGACAGAATGTTGAGGACGCCCCAGAAAGCAAGTGCCATGCCTGGGGGGAGGCTCTGGGCCTCAGTTTCTCAGTCATAACTGAGGCAGTGGAGCTGGAAGAGACCCCGTGCCCTTTGAGGTAGGATGTGGAAAGGGCAGCCATTCCAGGCGGGAGGAAACCACTGAACAAAGGCTGGGGAGGCTGGGAGCCCTGGCCAGGAAGCTGGTCCTGACTCAGGGGAGGTGGCAGGCGTGACCCCTGCTCCAGCCTTGCTGGGCCCAGGCCCGGTGGGTCATTTCCTTCTTTGCCTAGAAAGGAACTGCGAGTCTTGGTTCTTTCTTCCTCCCTCAAGTGAGAAGTGACTCAAAAATGAAAAAGGAAAACAAACAGAAGTGAAACTGAGACATGGGGAGAGAGAGTTCTCAGGCCTCCAGGCAGGACAGAGGGAGAGCCCAGGCACTTAGCTGATAAGTATTGAGCGCCTCCTGTATGCCCTAAAGCCAGATGGGGCCTGCCCTCAGGTAATGCACACTGGAGTGGGAACACCAGGAAAATTAGTAAATGAGGGAAAATATCAGCTAGTGATCAGGAAATTACAGTGGGGGATCCAACAGAGAGTGAGGGGGCGGCTGGCTGAGACTTTGAGGCCAGGGAAGATCTCTCTGAGAGACAACACTTGAGCCAACATCTGAGTGTCAGCCCTGGCAAATGCCGAGGGAAGGAAGAGAATTCCAAGCAGAAGGACCAGCAAGTGCAAAGGCCCTGAGGTGGAAAATGGTTAGTGTGTTTGAAGAACCAAAGGAAGGTGAATCAGATAGAAATGAGCAATGGGGGATAGACCACAAGAAGAGGTGACCAGGTGAGTGTGGTAGGCTGAATGATGGCTCCCTAGATAATGTCCTTGTCCTAACCCTGGAACCTGTGAATACGTTACTTTACACCGCAAATGGACTTTCAGCAGATAAGATTGAGTTAAGGATCTTGAGATAGGGAGTTATCCTGGCTTATGTGGTAGACTCGGTGTAATCACACGGGCCTTAAGAGGTGAAAGCAGGAGGGTCAGAAGCAGGAAAAATGAGATGTGAGGATGGAAACGGAGGTTGGAGTGATGCAGCGCCACAAGCCAAGGAATGGGGGTGGCCTCTAGAAGCCGAAAAAAGCAAGGAAACAGATTCTCCCCTAGAGCCTCCAGAAGGAACGCAGCCTTGATTTTAGCCCACCAAAACCCATTTCAGACCTCTGACCTCCAGAACTGTACGATATATAAGATAACAAATAGATAAATTTGTATTGTTTCAAACCACCACGTTTGGGGTGGTTTGTTACAGCGGCCGCAGGACACTAATGCAGTCGGGTTGTGTGGGGCCTCGTAGGGCAGCCTAGAGAGAGCTTTTTCCTAAGTGCGAGGGAGAGGGATGAGATCTCATTTGAAGAGATCCCCTGCTGTGGTGAGGGGACTGGCTGAGAGACGGGAGACCAGGAGGAGGCTGTCAGTGTCTTCCAGGTGAGAATCAGTGGCAGCCCAGACCAGGTTATGGGGGGAGGGCCGTGGGATATGCTTTGAGGTAGAGTTAATGGGACTTACTGGTTAAGGGGACGTAGGGGGTGAGGGATGGAAAGGAATCAAGGACCGCTCCCCCATCTTTGGCCTGAGCAGCTGGGGACAGCAGGGTCTTTACTGAGATTCGGAAGACCAGGATAGTGGCATGTTTGATGGGGAGAAAACCAGAAGTTCTGTGTGGCCTGAATCAGATGGTGTTGCCTATTAAATGGCTCTGCGGCCACGACCAGCAGCTTCTGGAGACCCGACCCGGAGTCTGGAGGAGAAAGCAGGCTGGAGCAGCTTGCGGACCGTCGCTGTGTGTGGATGGTACTCACACTGCAAGCTGGGACACTAAGGAGAGCAGGTAGCTGGAGAGGAGAAGTGGCCCAGGACAGTCCCCCCGGGGCTTCCCTCTTTCTCTGTCTGGTGAACTTGTCCTTCAGAGTCGAGCCCAAACATCCTCCCCTGGGGAGCCGACCCTGGTGCCCACCTCCCAGCCCTGTGCATCCCTGGGCACCTTGCACTGCAGCACGGCTTGGGACTGGTCCCAGGGTTGATGCCCAGGCCCCACTGCTGGGCTCAAGTCACAGCTTCCTTTCCTTCCTGGAGAACGTCTTTCCATCTTGATGCTCACACAGTGCGAGGGGATGGTTACGATGGCAGGCTCCATGGCTTACAGAACCTCAGTTGCCTGCTCTGTCACTGCTTGACTGTGCACGAGACACTTCACCTCTCTGAGCCTCAATTACGTTATCTGTACAATGGGAACACTAGTATCTACCTCTCAGGGTTGTTCTCAGGCCTGAATTAAAAAGGATTTGTAACGTGGCCAAAAAACTAATAATGAAACCAAACACATACGAATCCTTGCTGACCCTCTGGTTCTGCTCCGCTGAGGAGTCACGTTGCCATTCTTGTTCCTCAACACCCAATCATTTGGTTAGGGGATGTGCAGGTCCCCACCCTGCCAGACCACTGCCCCCCGCCCCCCCCCGCCCCCACTGATCTCTGCTCTGTGTCAGGGGGCCTGACCCCTCGGCCTCCCGGCCCTGGCTTCTGGTGTTTGGCCAGTAGGGGCTCCAGCAGGAGCTGTGAGGATGGAAGGAGAGAAGTGGGTGTTTCTTCCCTGCTGCTCTTTGTTCTGGTTCATATTTCTTGCTGTGTCTGCATCTCTCCATGATGACAGCTCCTAGTGGGGCAGCCCCTCTGTGGTGCTGTCCCTCACTGGGTTCTGGAAACACCCTTCCCTCCTGTTTGTCCCTTTGGCCCTGGGGTGGTGACAGCTGCCCGCTGTTGCTGCTCTCTGTGTGCCTCCATACCCGCTGTGTTCCCTTAACCAGGCTCACCGCTCTGTAAGTATTCCCCTCATAAGGTCTCTTCATTTGAACGCCTGGGGTAAGTTCTGTGTCCTGCTGGGACCTCGTCTGTTACAGCAAACAGGAGTGCGGCTTTCTCTTTGCTCGGGCCTGCTTGGATGGGCTGGTGGTCCCCGGGCTGACAGCAGCCATCAGCCAAACGCATAAACAACCACACTGGACTTAAATAAAGCAGAGACCACCATCACAGGCCACGGCCGTGTGGCTCAGAGGGGATGTTAACCCCTTGGTGGGTTTTGGCTGGCCCCACACACAGCATTCTCGGAACGTGCAGAAAAGTCCCTTGGATTCTATTCCCTGTCCAACAGAGGCCCTAGGGTGAGCCCTGGGGAGAAATCCCTCGGCATACATGGGTCATCGTCAAGCTCCAGCCTTCTGACAGGACGGGCACTGGCTCCCATAGAGTCACCCCACATCACCAGTGTGTCCCTTGCTGGGGTGGGGGAGAGGTCTGCGTGCGCAGCT